CGTCCCGTCGCACGTCCCCGTCCCGTCGCACGCACGCAGCCCGTTGCACGCCCACCTCCTGCCGCACGTCCTGGCGCAGGAGCTTTTGCACGCCGACGGCCTGCCGCACATCGTGTTGCACGCCCGCGTCCCGTTGCACGTCTTGTTGCACGCCCATGTCTTGCTGCACGTATAGGTCCCATTGCACGTATATGTCCCGTTGCACGCCCACGTCCCGTTGCACGTCCTGTTGCACGCCCATGTCTTGTTGCACATATAGGTCTCATTGCACGTATAGGTCCCGTTGCATATATAGGTCCCGCCGCACGTATACGTCCTGTTGCACGTCCATGTCCTGTTGCACGTCCTGTTGCACGCCCACATCCTGTCGCACATATAGGTCCCATCGCACGTATAGGTCCCGTCGCACGTATACATCCTGTTGCACGTCCATGTCCTGTTGCACGTCCTGTTGCACGCCCACATCCTGTCGCACATATAGGTCCCATCGCACGTATAGGTCCCGTCGCACGTATACATCCTGTTGCACGTCCATGTCCTGTTGCACGTCCTGTTGCACGCCCACATCCTGTCGCACATATAGGTCCCATCGCACGTATAGGTCCCGTCGCACGTATACATCCTGTTGCACGTCCATGTCCTGTTGCACGTCCTGTTGCACGCCCACATCCTGTCGCACATATAGGTCCCATCGCACGTATAGGTCCCGTCGCACGTATACATCCTGTTGCACGTCCATGTCCTGTTGCACGTCCTGTTGCACGCCCACATCCTGTCGCACATATAGGTCCCATCGCACGTATAGGTCCCGTCGCACGTATACATCCTGTTGCACGTCCATGTCCTGTTGCACGTCCTGTTGCACGCCCACATCCTGTCGCACATATAGGTCCCATCGCACGTATAGGTCCCGTCGCACGTATACATCCTGTTGCACGTCCATGTCCTGTTGCACGTCCTGTTGCACGCCCACATCCTGTCGCACATATAGGTCCCATCGCACGTATAGGTCCCGTCGCACGTATACATCCTGTTGCACGTCCATGTCCTGTTGCACGTCCTGTTGCACGCCCACATCCTGTCGCACATATAGGTCCCATCGCACGTATAGGTCCCGTCGCACGTATACATCCTGTTGCACGTCCATGTCCTGTTGCACGTCTTGTTGCACGTATACGTCCCATCGCACGTCCACGTCCTGTTGCACGTCTTGTTGCACGCCCATGTCTTGTTGCACATATAGGTCCCGTTGCACGTATAGGTCCCAACGCACGTATAGGTCCCGTTGCATGTATAGCTCCCATCGCACGTATACGTCCC